AAAAATGGCTCGACGCTTTTGATCTGTGAAATACCCAACAACGCCCTCTCCACTCTAGAGTTACCGATATGGTGTCTCGAGCGCTTCTTAGCAACTCGTCAGGGGCTGCAAACAGTTCACCGAAGGTTTCAGAAGCGTTCGGGATACGGCGTCGGAGCGCTAATGTGGGGAAGGCGTTTGATTGGGTAGTTTTCAAATGAAAGCTCCGATCCATTTTCATATCTGATCCTTTCAATGAACAAGTCTTTACTAACAAGACCTGAAACGGCTCAAGAAGCTCCTTTCTGTAATCTACCTGGCCAGGTGCAGGTGTCCTCAGTAACTCACAACGAAGTGGAAATTTCAATAAGGCGGCTAACTTACCACGTGTCCGCCAATGCATTTATCCGAGCGATGACTCGACGAACTCGAAAATAGTGACAGAGCTGACGTAATGCGTCTGACTGAGCGGCAGGAACAGCGCACTTCTTGCCACTGGTGAGAAATACCTCCTCTCCATATTTAAGAATTTCCTCCTTGGCGATCCTCTTCCCCATCCCCGAACCTTCCTACTATTTTTCTGTGTTCTCCATGAGCTCTCCCGACTTCCCACTAGTTTTTCCCCACTCTCCCAGTCTCAATAAATTTTTTCGATTCCTCCGCTCCAAGAAAGAAACTACCGTCGAGCCACGAAAAGCCAACTGCCGCAAAAAGTTGTCTCGCGCACGGAAATTGGGCTTACTAGGGAAGGTCGTCAGGTCGAAGTGGCCATTTGTAATGAGATGTAGCTCACTAGACGTGGTTTTGGACGCTGATCTCGAATCTGCCTTCGAAATTTGCAGAACGATTCTCTGAACGGAATTATGAAGGTTTGTTAGAATTAAAATGAAGGAAACAGAGTCGAGCGCGGTTGCCGGCCAATTCGCATGAATGTCGGGAAAGCGAGGCCTCATGCGATCAGAGAGCGGATGGTGTAAGATGGTAATGGTCTTGCTTCGCGGCGCTATGAAGGGCTCGGATTTCTGGATGTAAACGGATCTTGCATTTTGAGCGGAATGTCTCTTTTAAGTCTAGAAAACACTCAAACGTCAAATGGGTGTATCAAGTCGTGTTCGAGAGCAAAAGTATCCTTGGAGACAAGTTTGTAGCCAGATGTGAGGTTCTGACCTCACTCCGCTAGCATTTGATTGAATGATGGTTACCAATAGTTCCAGGGCCAGTCTCTTGTCGGTTGCTTGTATTTGGACAAAATTTGCTTTTGGATACCAGGAAAAACTGGAGCAGTAATAAAATGAATGCGTAAGAAGAGAGGAGACGAGGCTTTGTGCAGGAGAATGTATCTGCAGCTGAATAGGTGTTAACATCAATTGAACTAACCCATGGATGGTCATTTCGAATTCGAGCAAATGCCAAGATTTGGCGCAGAACCTCTACCTAGGCCGAGTTCGCTACCCGAATAAACTCGGACCATGGCACTGCTCAGCCGCGAAAAACGCCTGCACTCCGCGCCGCGCCAGGGCACCTGCACATCTCCTAGATCATAAGGCACTAAGCGCGCCAGTAAGCGAACACAAACTGTTTTTCAGGCAAGTCAAGGAGAGCGCTAATGTAGTAGTGACGCTACAACCACTTTTTGCCACGTTTGCACAAGAAGCAAAAATTTAAGCTCAGCAGGGGTCCGATCCACGGACCTGTTCCGCGTGAAGCGCGGGGAAAAAGGGCTCCATAATCCGCTTCAGGAATTGTTCTGCAAGATTCTCAAGCAGATCGAGATCAGCGTCCAAAAAACGTTTAGTGAACTACAAACTACATCTCATTACAAATGGCCACTTCGACCTGACGACCTTCCCTAGTTAGATGCGACCGTCGAACAAATGCGCCCACGCGCATCCCGCGCCCCCTCTCTCCTCCAATGGGAGTTTTCTAGCGTTGTGAATGCGCGCGTGAAACAGGAAAAATCAACTTTCCAAGAAATTCTCAGGCAGATACGATCCCCCTTTTCCACTGGTTGAGTACGCCGTCCTCAGAGGATTCCCCAACAAGCGGGGTGGCCGTGGCAGTGACTTATAGGTCCCGTGGTGAAGATGATTGATTTGTTGCATGAGCCAATTTCATGTGGGGGAAAATACGAACTAGTTGCACCTGAAAGGAACCTATATTTTTTTTCTTCGACTTTGGGCGAATTTCGCTGCAAACATTGTTACTGGGAACAAGGGCGGTGATGCCTTACTTGCACCAAAATGCCACGACGTTGTTGAAGGACCAAATGCGATCGCCCTACCCCCGCTGTGGATCATCAACTCGTCGTGGGCCCAATACATCCCTCAAAAAACAGAAAAAGAAAACATATGGGTTGACGTCAACCGGCAAAGAAGCACCGCTTCTTCTCATAGCAGTTGCCGGAATTCCAAAAGAACGGTGTCGAAGTTTCTTAGGGTCTCTCTTCTTTCTTTTTTTTTTTTTTTTTTTTTTTTTTTTTTTTTTTTTTTTTTTTTTTTTTTTTTTTTTTTTTTTTTTTTTTTTTTTTTTTTTTTTTTTTTTTTTTTTTTTTTTTTTTTTTTTTTTTTTTTTTTTTTTTTTTTTTTTTTTTTTTTTTTTTTTTTTTTTTTTTTTTTTTTTTTTTTTTTTTTTTTTTTTTTTTTTTTTTTTTTTTTTTTTTAGGAACTTGTTGTGTGATTGAGATTCTGTATTCAGTAAAGGGAATGTTCACTCAAATAATCCAATCGAAGTTTTGTAGTGCTTTTCTTCCAATCTGTAATCTCAGGAGTCGTGAATTAATAACCTGACATTGTATCATGGAGTGTAACGGCTGTACAGCTATGGGACATCCGAGACGGTATGTGCAAGCAAACATTCCCTGGTCACGAATCGGATATCAATGCTGTTGCTGTAAGTGTTGTTTTCTAGGGTTAACGCCGTATTATGCTGTGCTGGATTTAAATTTGTGTTCAGTTTTCCTTCTCGGTTATGGCTTTTGCCAACTGGATCAGATGATGCCACTTGCCGTCTCTTCGATATTCGTGCAGATCAGGAATTGGCCATGTATTCTCACGATAACATTATTTGCGGTAAGCTTGGCGGTTCGTACGTGTTAACTACCTCATTTATGAACCCATTTTCAAATGCATGCACTTTTAGGTATTACTAGCGTAGCTTTCTCAAAATCTGGTCGGCTGTTATTCGCTGGATATGACGATTTTAACTGTAATGTCTGGGATTCAATGAGGCAAGAACGAGCAGGTAAGACGT